ATGGCATATATTTAATAGGGTTGGGCGGAGAGCTGACAAACCTGTATTGAAGTCAGGAATAATATGTGCTTTCGAAGATGCAAATGAGTACAGCAAACCTTGCGTAAAACTCGTGTGACATTACAGTTGACACTGCCTTTTAAGGATGACAATGTGATATTGGACAAGTTACTTTGCCTTAGTAAGTGCAAACAGGGCAGAGTGAAAGTGGGTCACTGCGAACTTGTCCGTATGTAGTAAATAGTCTGTCACTTTTGTCGATTACAGCCCAAACATTCAACTGTTAAGAAAATAGCTGCCCCTTTTATAATGCTGTTGTTAAAAGGCCAGAAATGTGAAGAAGTCTTGTCACAGTTGTTGTGACCACAGGCAGAATATGAATTGAGACATGAAAATAGAGTGGTTAGTCAGATAGTTTTGCATTCAATTTAAATTGAAGGCAGCATTTTACTAGCAGTCTGCAATAATTCTGCATAAGGAAATAATTGTTTTGTTTTGTTTTGTTTTGGTTTTTTTTTTAAAAGATAAATCATTCATCCTTTCATTAACATTACTGGATTTCTGCAATTTATCTATTTGTTGTTTGTGGATTAAGGGAGTACTACAGGCTTTGTTTTGCAGTGTATTGTACATATGATGAACTTTCAGAATCAATTCTGAAATTGAAAGAGTTTTCACAGAAGCCTAAGAAAGAAAATGGTATGGAAAGCATGAAGCTGTTCCATACTTTGGGGTTTTTTTGGGAGTGGAATGTCTTGCTATACAGACTCCTTTCCTTTTTGCACTGAGAGGATGCTTGAAAGAGAAATTCTTGGTATGTTAGCAAAACTGGGCTGATAGTGTAGACTTAGTGTTCTGAAGTGAATACTGTAATGCGTTGACTCACTGCACTGATCCTGTAAATCATTATGTCTTTTTGATGAAATTCTTCCCAAAAATGGAACTGAAAAGATTTAGCAATGCCATAAGCGGATTGTATTCTGTCCTGTTGAATTACGCAGGAGCATGACATTTACTTTTCTGTTTATTAAGAAAGTGCTGCTCTGATTATAATTATTCCTTATATATATGAATATAATTATATATAATTATAAAAAGAGCAAAATACTCCCTGAAAGATTTGTCTGTCAGAAAACGAGCAGAGAAATTCTGATTAAATGAACAAAGAGGGAAAAGGCAGGGTGAGGGACAGGTGGGATGGGGAGAAAAAAGCACCCTCCTCTCCTCAGATAAATGTAGTATCTTAAAAGACACTATCACTTAGAAGGCTCCTTTAATTCCTTTATGGATGGAGGAAGGGAGCACTGAAGTATTTTTTTATTCCATTTTTTTATTATGTCAACTCTAGAACCTTGGCCTAAAATATTTACTTGCAATATTCATGCTAGAGAACTGAAATTGGTATAGGGCACAGTGAGGAGCCAAAGTATTAATAGAACCATTTTCAAATTCATACCTGAGATATCCATGAGAGACCTAGAGCAGCCAAGTGTTACTTTTTGGGTCAGAGTGTGCTAAATTACAAAAGTCTGAACATTTTCCAAGTGAGGAAGACCACCTCTGATATACAAAGAGAGCCCACCTGTAATAACCATCTATTGGTAGGCCATGTCTGGAGCGATAAGGGAAGTGTTATGTGAGAAGCAGGTAAATGCAAAATACATTCATGTTATGAAAGAATAAACTTCTAGGGAAATAATTTTAAATTTTAGAAAGAAAATTTTTTTAAAAAATTTTAAAATATGTAAAGCAAAGTTAGTAGAACATTTTGAGAATCAGTGGTCAATAGGAGTGAGGACATTAGGCATAATTTAAAAATGTTAATATAGCTGAGAAAGGGTAGCAGAACAACCCCTTTTTGAAGAGAAAAAAGACAGGATGCAGCAATTAAGTTATTTCAGACTGGCCTCGAGATTTCAGTTAGGTTAGTAGCAAGCGGAACACTTGCTACATAGAGAGGGATAGCACTTGCAAAGTGAATATAGTCTCTATCAGATACAGTTTTGTTCTCTTTATAGATAGCGGGTCTAAAAATAAAATGGTCAAATTTCGCTGCTTGAGGCAAGCCATGTGCAAAGGGGTAAAAATATATTTAACATAATGAAGGAGTGGGAATAAAGAACAATGAAAGAGAACCGACAGAGGGTTAGCAGAGTCCAGCATGGAGACGTAGATAGAAAAGACACCTGAGCAATACAAGACCTGAGGTGACATGACAAAGTGACAGCCTGTTTGGACTGCACTGGATAGCAATATGGATATTGCTATTCGATGTATCAAGAGTGCACAGCAAAAAGGTAAAAAATGTTAAATGGTTGTGTCAAAGCTATGGGGTAAATGTGCTGTCCTGGTCACCGCTGCCCAGCTGCCCAGCCTGAGGCTGAGATGGAGAATATGTTGGGTCTGGTGCTGCCTGGACATCTACATTTCATTCCTAAGGCCATCAGTGACGGTCACCAGTCACTTGGTTTGTCCAGACATGCTGCCAGGTAGACACTCTGTGCTAGTAGGTCACAAGATATTTTAAGACACTCATATGATTGGTGTCTGCCTCAGACCTACATGTTTACTCCCTTTTCAGCGTTACTGTAGAGAATCAGGTATGAGTCAATGCTCTCTGAAGGTCTAAAGCAGGCCAAATAACCTGCATACCAAAACAAGTACATTAGGTTTAGCTGGACTATTTCATGAAGATCAGAATAGACCAATCCACAAGGTCAGGATGAGTCATGGTGGTCCAAGGGACAGATAAGTTTACTGCTAGATCTAGATCTGATCTGTTCCTGGACGTTTGGGTTGTAAATTGTATCTAAATGTGGGAGAAGGTCCTTTGCTAGGGCATGTTCACTTTCCCAAGTCAGGAAGGGCTCTCTCTCAGCAGAACTTTGTTTATGGATGGTGCAACTGTTGCTTCCCCTCCTGACATCCCATTGTTATGATCTGCCCAGCAGACGTCCCTCGGCCACTGTGGGATGAGAATATAGGGACACAGAGGCTCTCTCCTTTCCCTGTGTTGATTGCTGTCAGTAAATAATAGGTTTGAATTGGTCGCTTAGAGCTGGAAACAGTCAATACCTAATTTTTCCCAGGCTGTGAATGATGCATGCTGGGTCACTTGTAGTTCTTTCAGCTCTTTTTGAAGTGACAAAGAGATGTTATAAGAACTGGTGTTGAATAGTTTCCAAGCACAAATAAATTAAAGATGTTCTGGTGCTACAACCGCGACTGTTGTTCTACAGCTAGTCGTATGTATGCTAAAATGGGCATAATTTCTGTTGAAGTTTCACTGCTGCACATGTTAACAGAATGCAATGCTAGCAAAAGAAACAAGACTTCTCATTATGATATTCTGTGTTCATACCTCAAATCCCTGTGGTCTTCCTAGACTTTCTTTAATATGTTTCCACGCAACAAGAATCTCTGATACAGACAAACTCGTAGCTTTGACATCGATGGGAGCAGCAGTGGGTTCTGTATTAAGAAAAATTGAAACAATAAACTTCCACTGTAACAGCTTTTATTTATCAAAAACACTCCATCTGAAACTGTCATTTACTTCCTTTATTCTACCTTAATACTCACAAGAAGGTATGACACTTAGGGGGAACATGAAAAACTGAACAAGATGAAGAGATTATTATTGTTGTATTTCTTTATTCGTGTCATGCTACATCAATATATCATCAGTGATGATGGGTGCAGCAAACTGTGAAAGAATCTTTTCTGTGATTTTTAAAAAATCTTTAATATTTGTCTGTGAGTCCCCCACCTCCACACACCCCTTACTTCAACAGTAAATGGAGCATTCATTCTATTTGTGGCTTTTTAGTGCCATTCTGTCAGCTCACGATGAACAATACCTTGCGGGGGTGCTCAGTCATTCCTGCCCCGGGGTGATACTGAGTGAAAAGTGATACCCAGGGCTGTAGTGAAATGGTATGTAGAAGAAATTTTTTTTAGGACTATGTTATTATATCCTTGAAGTTACAGGCACCAGTGTTTGGGATGTGCCACCTTCTCTCTGCTGTGACGCATTTACTGTTTTAGGCCTGGGATGCACATTTTTATAAAGGCACCAAGACCTAGGATTTGTCCCCCTCATTACCTGCGTTGTTACCATTGTCCCTATGTCCATGCTTCTATCTCTGTGGTATTCATAGGACACTCTGTGTCCTGACCTCCTAACTATCTGGAGCAGAGGACTCTTCCTGGCCTCCAGAAAGGGTGGGTGTCCTTTGGTGCTGTTGGCATACGGTCAGGGTGGTCACTGGAGGTGTAGGTCTGCAGGATGCTTTATATACCATATCTGCTCAACGGAGTTTCACATTATTGAACACTTTATAGAGATCTAACTTCTTTCAGTGGTTGGGAAGTTGGGTAAATGTCCTTAGAGATTTGCCATAACAGGCTATTGAACATACTACCCATTAGCACACTTGGAGTGATGAGTGTTCAAAAATTGTCACATATGAAACTGAGACTTCCTTAAAGAAGCCTTTTGGATCTTTTGCTTTATCACCTAAATATTACTGAAAATTTGCTTACTAGAAGCTGTGGAGACAAGGCTTGAACACAGATGGTGAAGCACACAGTAGCAGCATTTCTTCACCTTTCTGATGTAGTTCACTTGCTCAGCAAAAATGTGAATTTATATTCCCCTGCATTCGCAGAGCCTGCGATTTCCTCCTTGGCCTAATGTTCCTTATTACATTTCAAATGAGTTGATCTGCTCCTGAAGGGCAGGCAGAGGTCTTGGCTTTTATGTTATAGGGAGACACAGCAAAGAGCTTTCTAAAAATGTTTTTTTGAGACTCATTTAACAGGGTTACAGAAAAGGAGTTTCCTTACAGAACAGCCTGATTTAAAATGATATAATTTTCTCAGTGATCAAACTGCCTAATATGTATGATACCTAATATCAGTCTCGACTTATTAGCTGCCCTCCTTTCTCTGATCACATGCAGGCATTTTTCTGGCATTGCTGCCCTACACTTTTTCACTGACATGGCTTATACAAATTTTTCGTCCTTTTTGATGTCAGAGTTTTAATGTTTGTGGGTCTTTTTTGATGTCTTTTTTTTATTTACCTCTAAAGAAAAGAAGCAATTTTGATGTGATGCAAAATGGTGTTTGCCAATGCTAAATATTAGTAATAACTATAAAATAGGTATGGAACTTTTCAGGTAACAAAAAATGAAAAAAAAATCTCCAGAAATAAGTGATATGATATTTTGAATTCAAAACTTAAAGTATTTTGAAGTGCTCTGAAGAAATATATTGCTCATAATATAATTTTCTGTTCAACAGTTACATCCTGCTTTCTATTTTATGTTCTACTCAGATCTGTGTGGCAAAAGCTATTTTCTAGTTTTTGTATTATTGAAGCAATTACCTTGTTGTCAGAAAAGATTGTAGTGGGATAAATAATTTGAGATATACACAAAATGTTGGTTGACAGCCTTTACATTTTCTGTAAATGTAGGTATCATTTCCTCTTCATAGCATTCACTAGGAATGGTTCATATATTGCTTGGAATAATAACACAGAATATTTTCTGGTATTTGTAAAAATTGTTTTCAACAAAAGCAGCAGAAATAGCTTGGATTTCTTTTTTATGTGAAGAAAATGTATTTCTTACATATTCAGAAGTAATTCACTGCACTTTCCCTGATATTCGACATTGAGAATAGAAGTGCTCAACAAAAGAACAGAAATTAAATATTTAGGAATAAGATATATTGTGACTGTCTGAAAGTTTTTGGAGACTAAATAGGTTTTTTTATTGATTCAGATAAGATGAGGACCATATAATTTCTGGTGATATAATACAGTCTGTGGTTCACTCCAATGTCATGCTTTATTCGCTGTGTCTAAAACTAATGATAAGTTTGACAGGTTCATTAGCTTTTTCTATTATGGTCACTGATGTTATAATCATATTATTTTCTTCATATCTTGTCATTGTGCTACACCTATAGGTGTCTGCCTAAGGTCATACCTATTGAAAAAAGAAAGAGGACCAACATCTTTAATAGTCCCTTTGATGTTCCCTCTTTGAATTAAAGATGCAACACAAAAAATTCTCATAAAGATGTGTGCAATGTCCATGAAACACTGTCTTTCCTTGTGTTGCAATCACACTGTAAGGAAACACGATCAATATCTAGGTCTTTGGGATTTCTGTAATATGGCAGGACATGGATTTACACTTATTGCATTGATCTGATGTTCAGAGAGGGAATCTTGAATTTTGATACTGGAAAGTAAAGAAAGAAGAATTACTCGCCCTCACTGTGTTTTTTCCCTATGTTTATGATTTGCAAAACTGATCTGTTTTTCTGAAATAGTGGTCATCCTTGAAGATTTCCACATGGTCTATCTTAAAAAACAAATCCAAGAGCCTACTCAAGTTTATGTTGTTTTAACATGGGATCCAGAGTTATCTTCAGCATTTGAGGAGGGAATGTGCTCATTATATTGATTGCACGTCTACCTTTCCATGGGTAGTAGTGGCATTGACCAGAAGACTGCTTAATAAACTCTTGCATGTCAGGGTTTAATTTGATTGTTTAAAAAAAAATCACTGAAGACAGCTCTAGAACTTTTACAGGATCTCTCCAGATGGATCATCTGGCAGAAACAGGAAATAACCCTTTGTAGTTTGCACACAATCTGCCAATTTATTAGTCTTCATGTTCACCTAAAACCCAAGTATCTCAGCTTTAGCTATGAAATGATTCACAGGACTTTACTTAATGAAAGTAAGATTTTAATTAAAGATATGAAGGCTGTGTTTAAAAGTGTGTGACTGGATAATGTTCCCTCTAAATGAAAAGGAGAGGGTCTAAATTTGTCTAAGTAAGGGCTATCACCTAAAAATAAGAGGAGATGGAGTTAAGCAGAACAGTCCTTCACTCTGCAGTGTCTTGTTTAATATAACATCATCCATTAGCTGGCTTGATGTAAGTCATCTAAAAGTTATGAAGAAACAAAATTGCAAGAGCTGTCGTGTAGTCCTTTGTCTTTCCAATAACTGAGAGCTTTGGATCTCCATTGGCTCAGTGAATACCACAAATCCATACCAGACAAGAACAAAAGCTCTGTGCAGTATCCTTGCTCCTTGTATGGATTACAGAACCACATCTAGGGTCCCTCAGGAAGTTTTAAACTGTGAGTATTAGAGTCTTCAGGCTTTAACTTGTACCACTAAGGGATCTCTATGTCATGTATAGAAATTTTTATTAGTATTCACTACTCTGTTTATCAGAATTATAGGTTTGCCAGTTGTTCTGAAGATGATTCCATCAGGTGCCTGAAGGAGGAATTAGATATTGAAATGAACAGAACTGATCCTTATCACCCATTGTGGCAATCTTCGATAAAAAAACCTTTATAAAAGACTTAACTGATCTTGAAACCGCTTGGGTTCCTTTTTTCTCCCATAAGTTTGTTTCTATGTCCTTGTATATTCTCATCTATTTCTGTACTGGACAGTACTCTAATTTATATTTAATCTTGTGCCTTTAGGCTGCATCTACACTTGTAAATTAACTGGGGACAGAGAGACAAGGAATCATCCTGAGCATGGACATACAGCTGTCCATAGCATTACATTGTTAACACCATCTGTGGTGAAGTATTGACTCAGGGCAATTAGTGCTGCCCCAAACTGTGGTATTTTTATCAGAATTATGCCGTGATGCAATTTAAAACATTTGAGTTTTTCTTGTGTGTAGGTTTTACTTATTAGGTTCCAATTTTGTAATAGACTGGCTTATTACTCCTCCTTATGTACTTTACCTATCATTTATGTGTCCTTGCTTTTCCTCTAATCCTCTAGTTCACATTTTTTCTATGTATTGGTCAGATCCTTCCCTGTATTTCATCACCAGTTCTTCTATTAGCATTATGAATATTAAATATATATGATATAAGACTAATCCTTAAGAAATTCTGCCAGCAGCCTTCCTAGGCTTTCACAAGTCAGGTGGCAAAAGCTATGTTTTTTTGCCCTTACATAGAAATATTTTTAATTTTTTTCTTGAACGTTTAGCTAAAATTTATTTTTTTCCAACTGTTTACTTTCACCATTATTTTGGAATGGGAAAGATCTTGCCTCAGTTTGGAGTTTGGAGATTGGGTCTCAACCAACTATGGTAGCCAGAAATAGAAAAACAGAACAAATTTCATTTATAGTACATTTAAATAGCAAATTCTGCAATGTTTAATTTGGAAAGTGTTGAATTTCTGACAAATGCAATTCCAGTAGTTTTCATTACAAATGTAAAAATTTGCATTTTCACATTCTTATTAGCTATCCTCTCTATATCATCTTACTTATTTAAAATAACCAACAAAGTATTTTACTATTGTTGTCCATTCCTTGATTATCTTTAATATAAATACCTTATTTACTTCACTTTTTTCTGCTTTATATACTTCCTTAACTCAAAAAAAAATTAACCTTAATTTTTGTCTATACTTGTATTATTTTTATTCTTTTCAATATCTGAGTTGTATTATGTATGCTTTTTACTTATTGTAAATATTTTCTAGTGAGTACCTCTATAGATCTTCAGACGTATTGCCTTAAAAATGTACCAACTTTTCAATATAAAGTTCAAATAGATTTTATACCTTTGGCTAAGAGACCTTCCAAAACACTTTAATTTCTAGTCTCATCTATTAATTTTAGTTTATAAAATAATTTCCTGCTCTTTAATGGTGATGTGTACTACTGTTAGTTGTTATGATCAGCTTTTCTACAGTGTCTTAATTATTTATCAGAACAAGACTATTGTACCATTATTTCTTCTCACTTAGTCATTACTAGATAAAGAATCTGCTAATTAGCACAGCTGGAACACAAGATCATTAGTCCTTACTAATTAGTTTTTACTGTCCAAACTAGTCTCAGCAGCTGAATTCTCTCATAAATAACAAAGTTCTGTACTATTTATTAACAGTTGGGAAGGTCTTTTTCAGAGTCCAAATTGATCATGGTAATCAGCAACTGATCTCTAGTTTGATCTCCAGCTTCTTGCCCTTTTCTAAAATTACACAGAAACCAAGGATATTCTGTTTTAACCAAACACTGCTTTTGAATTTCCAGATATATCACGTCATCAACATGTTATGACATCCAACTTTTTACTTTTTTTTTGTCTTTCCTGTGCATCTCATATTTTGTCCAGCCATGCTTGTTAAAGAAAGCCAACTTGGACATCACTGTTACCAGTACAGCCTTTTCCATCTTCTTGCCAGCATACCTTTACACTCTTACTTCCTTTACACTCTTACTCTTTACTCTTCCTTTACACTCTTACTTCCTTCTTCTAAATCCTCCATTGCTATATTTATGATTTTCCCAGTTTTTACTTTCCAGTGAATTAAAACCACACATAGAGATTGCATAAGATTTCCCTGATCCTGAAAGCTTGTATGAGTAGTCTTAGAATTCTTAGTCCCTCAGTATTGGATGAACTGGAATGTAGTCATCAGTAAAAAAGAATACATATATATTAAAACAAATGGTGCTAACATTGTTTTTGTTCATAGCTTTATTTCATTGTCTACTGCCTTTACAATTTTTTTCTCTGTGGATCAAAATAATCTATGCCTGTACTGAATTTCAGTGCTGTTTCAGTATATTCTCTAATGAATACCTTATTTTCCTGGCAGAAAGTATGGTCAGAAGATTTCTCCCAGTTCTGATCGTTATTCTCTTCAGCCTCAGGCCTACACACTGCAACCTTTCTTCTGGCAAGTAGATTAATTTGCTGTGCTCTCCATGTGCTCTGATATCTCTTTCTCTTAATAGAGTTTTCCTTTATGAAAAATTTAGGCTTGCCTTCCCCTGGTGCTGGGTGGAACATGTCTGCTGTGTCCTTCTGTTCTGCCTTCTTATTGAAGGCAATTGTGCATCTTTTTTCCATCCTTCATCTTCTATGCATTACCCTCATTCCCTCTCCAGAACTGCTTCCTAGCTCCCTTCATCTCTTTTACATCACTACATTTGACATCTATTTTAATTCTTCTCTCTTTGATTGCTTGTTGTCTTCCCTTCTTAAGATTTCCAGGAAAGAATCCTCCCTCAAACTTTCCTACTGCATTAAGACACCTTTTCCAGAGGGTCACACGTATTTGCTTTTTTTGTCCATGGGTTATCTGTCTAGTTTTGTATAACCTTTTTGTCTGAACCTCCATTCTATTCTCTATTCTTCCCTTATACTCCTCTTCAATTTTACTTCTTGGAGAGTCTTTCCCATGAACTGTATCCTGGTGATGTTTTCTGTGAAGTCAAAAGATGGATGAAGGAGAAGTAAAGTCTTAAAACATCTATAACCAGTCAGGTTTTCTCCCCTTTTTAGCTTTGGGCTACTGTTTGGAGGAAGGGGTTGAAAATGGAAGATTGGTGAGGAGATAGTTATTTTTCGTTGTTTCACTCAAGGTGACTCTGCAGCTGGGAAATGTTAAGGATATTTTCAGTGTGGGAAATTTCACATATTGAGTTTCCTTTGAGTTGTGTTCTGTCTGTTGAAAGTGAAATTCTCTCAAAGAAGATAACAGAATGTTGTTAAAGACTTAAAAGCATTCTTTCCCACAGGCATGAGGGCAAGGGAGAGAAGAGAGTTCAGAATTGTGAAAACACAGCCTGTGGCAGTCTTTTGTAAGACAAAGCACAGGCCTGCATGGCATGTTTTTGCCCCTGCTAAGTTGGACTTGGCAGTGTATGCATGTATGTCCCTAAAATGATGGTATAAATCTATTCTCTACATTTCAGCTGTGGATCATGGTCATCTTGGTGTTACCTGCATACATTTCATTCCCTACAGTTACCATCATCACTGATGCTTCAGTAACCATTGACATTATGTTGTCTTCTAAATATCTATTGGCTCTATGCCCAAGTGAAGGTTGGTGACAAGTGATGTCCCTCAGAGCTCTGTCTTAGTATCTTTAATAATGACATGAACAGTCAGAGATCAAGTGCACCCTCAGGAATTTTGCAGATGAAACCAAGCTGAGTGGTGCAGTTGACACACCTGAAGGATGAGGTGACATCCAGAGAGACCTGGAGAAGCTATAGAAGAGAGCCCATGGAAACCTCAAGAGATTGAACAAGATCTACTGCAAGGTCCTGCACCTGAGATGGGACAGTCTCAAGTATAAATAAAGACTTCTAAAAGAACTAATTGAGAGCAGCCTGGAGGAGAAGAAGTTGGGAGCTTTCATCGATGAAAAGCTGGACATGAGCCAGCAATGTGCACTTGCAGTGCAGAGAACCAATCACATCCTGGGTTGCATCAAAAGTAGTGTTGCCAGCAGGTTAAGGGAGGGGATTCTCCCCCTGTACTGCACCCTGGTGAGACCACTTCTGAAGTGCTCCATCCAGCTCTTGGGTTCTCAGCACAAGAAAGATGTGGACCTTCTGAAGCAGGTCCAGAGGAGGGCCAGGAAGTTGATTGCAGGGCTGGAGCACCTCTCCTATAAGGACGGGCTGTGAGAGTTGGGGTCATTCAGTCAGGAGAAGAGAAGGCTCTGGGGAGACTCTCTAGCAGTGTTCTAGTACTGAAAGGAAGCTTATAAAAAACGGCAAGCAACTTTACCAGGGCAGATAGTGACAGGATAAGGGGGAATTTTCAACTAAAATAGAAGAGATTTGGGTTAGTTATCAGAAAGAAATTAATTGCTGTGAGGGTAGTGAGACACTGGAATAGGTTGCCCAGAGATGTTGTGAATGCCTCATACCGGAAAGTGTCCAGGGCTAGGCTGGATGGGGCCTTGAGCAACCTAGTCCAGTGGAAGGTTCTCTGCCCATGGTAGGGTATATCGAAACTCAATGATCTTTAAGGTCCCTTCCAACCTAAACCATTCTATGATTCTATGATCTAAATTAATAGAGATGAAAAGATTAGCCACTCTATTTACTCCTGAAAAAGTGCTGTATTTTGCTCAAGTTTTCAGTGTCCTTTTACTCAGAAGGTAATGTTTTTAAGCCTTTTGCTTTGGTCAGATTCACTTTATGTAATCAGAGGGCATTTTATTATGTTCACTGAGGGGAACTTGCTCAACACCATCTGCCAAGCTGCTTGTTTAAGAACCACTCAGAGCCACCACAAATGGGCTCTGAATGTCAATCAGAAAGCACACAGTGCGTGATGAAATGCAAGTAAGCTAACATTTTGCTGGATCAGCCCCAAGAACATAATATATTGTACCGTCAATCGTTATTTAATATTTACTCTTCAGTAGAAATCCTTGAAAAATGGTGCCATCAGTTCTTTAGCTCCTTAAGCATGACAGTCTATACCTCTTTCAAAAGCAGTTTCCCGCTTTATAGCAAACTGCAACGTCTATTGTCCTCAATCTCCATATTGCCCAGAACTTAGCTGTAATAAACTGTTTCATTACTCCTTTAAATTTTCACTTTATCGCCCAGGGTTATTCTGGAGAAAAGCTTTTTATAAATTAATTTAGCACTGTATTGTCAGAGCAAACCATATTTTTCCTGAAATATGTCCTATAAAGTATTTAGACCCATACAATTCCTCTTACCAGAGAAAAGTCTAATGTACAGACACATACAGAGACTGGATTAGCAAAACTGTTAATGGGTAGGTCCTTTCAAGTAATTGAATTAGAGAAGTTGATTTCTAGAAAAAATTAATTTATATATTACTGATTATTCTGTTTCCAATCTTGTCCAAACAACAGGCAAAGGACCACTTATTACTAATCAGCACTCAGATTTTGCTAAAATAACTTTTGCTACTGAAAAGAGAATAAAATTAAGATTTTACCTCTTCCTTTGCAAAAACATATTTTCAATTAACTTTCTAATGAGAATATGAAATTATTAAAAAATAAAAACATCACCATTTGTCTCACAGTATCAGTTTACACCAAGAAACAGGGAAGTCCACTGTACAATTTCCAAGTTGTACTGCTCAATTTTTGTGCTTAAAATGTAATTGTTTTTATAAAAATATGAGTACTTGGTAATGCTGATTCAAAAAGTGAAACAAAACCAAATTATTGGAGCTGCTTTTAGTAAAATCAGCATCTTCAACCTCTCTAATTCCTGTGAGAGAATAGTAGTAGACAGCATCTGCTAAATCATGGCTCCAAAATTACACATTTATTGTGGGTTAATGTGGAATAGCATTTAATGTTTTCCAGCTTCATACGGAATGCTACTATCTTCAAACTACTTTTTTGTAGAGTGTGAAATTCCTTCCATCTGTTCTGTAAGGACTCTGCTTATCTTTTCCTCTTAGGAGACAGTGGGATAATTCTAGATAGTATAGTGAAAAAGTTAGTTCACCTCCTTCTCTGTAAAACATGTTTATTGTTATTTAGTATTTCTGCAAAGAAATTTGAAATTTAAGACTGAAAAAGCGTGGTATAAGAGGAGACATATAAAAATATAACTTCGTGGTATGAAATTTAACTTCATGTTGAACTGACCTCCTTCGGCTGAGCAGATGACAACAATAGGGCTGAATGGACCATCTCCTTTGTTGTTGTAAACACCAACTTTCACCTCAAAAGGAGTCAGAGGTGGCACACTTTCATCTCTGTAGATGAACTTTGAGGCATCTGAAGATGTCACCATTTTTTCCTTCCAGCCACGAGTTCCATTTGGCCTGAAGGCTACAATATATCCAAATCCCTCTCCACTCTGAAACTCTTCTGACACCGGCTGAAAAATTAAGTTCAGGTAGTGATCAGACATGGTTTTGCTAATTTAGAAAGCAGATACAGTTGCATTATAGGATTTTACTTACCGTACCTGGTAAGTAAATTGTCCTCATAAGTACAATTTCTTCCAGAGAAGACCCTAAGGTGAGAGAGTTTTCTCACCTAATCACCACGGTTAGGTCATTGTTCTAGGACTGAATGAGTTCTTGGGCTCATTAACTTTGTGGTTAATTCTTTAATCTGTTGTCTATTGGTGGAAGAGCCCCTGACAGTGACCTTGTTGAAAATAAAGAGCAATATATTGTAAATAACACGATGTGCATGTCCCACCTACTACAGTGGGACTTGGTTTGTAAGTGCCAGCCTACCTAATTTCTGTATCCAAATGGGGTGTTAAATCTTGGGGATTTAAGCCCAGGGTTCAACTTAGACTTAGGATATAATGTAATAATTCTCTTGGTTTTAACTCTCAAACAGCTATTTCACTCTTTTTAGTGAAAAAACTCCTCATTTTCTTTTCTCTCCTCAGAATACCTATACAATTAATTACTTAATTTGGGACACATCTGCCATAAGCAGGCAGTTAGAAAAGGGATTTATCTGTTTTAGAGTCTGAGCACTGCAAAAGCTAAACTTAGGTATCCAGCTCAATTATTGGAACTTTTTTGTGCTAATTAGTAAATTAGCAGTAGCTTACGTTTATTGTGAAGTCAGTGAACTAGTTTAGGGATTAGGGTAGGTTTAATAGCTGTCAACATACTAGACCTATGGGAAATGTCCAAAAATGGGTGTCTAAACTCCCTCTCTTGAAGTGCTCATCATAGATTTGTTGCTAATGAATCAGAGCAGAGGCCCAGGGAACACTAAATGCTCTTCCCACCGCTTTGCAGGTTAGTGTCGTCACCAGGCACTTGAAGACTTAATTTTCTACCCATCCTTCTGAAACTGTGCACTGCCCAACTAAGGAAAAGAAAAATCATGAGTCCATGGGCAGAGGATGCAAAACTAAGGTAGACTTTGTAATCTAGTCTTATCCCTGTGTCTGTGGTTCCTTTTGGAAGAAAATTTTGTCCCTTGACAGAGAGTAAGATATGACACACTTCAGTAGTTCCCCACCCCAGTCACTTGGGAAACACTATAAAGACACTCAACATGAATATTGCATACTAAGATATCGTATTAGGGACTGGGATTAGACCAGTTTACACCAGATACAGCTCTAGCCACCTGGTATTTTTGTTTGGGATTCAGTAAATTCTCTCTGAATAGGAGAGATGCTGCTACTTATAGTTACAGACTATAAAGCAAACTGAAATCAACTCTGTCACAGCTGTCTCAGGTAGCTTGTGTTGGAGAAGACAGATGTGCCGACAGAAGGCAACCTCTTCAGATGACCTAAAATTTACCAGTTGAAACAGATAATCAGAATTCTGTGTATCTCTTACTATGTGAATATCTCTTCAAATTACCTAAGCTGAGACCATTTTCGTTAAAACCCCATGTCTTTGTTTGATGGAATTCTTGAGTTTACGTGTAGGTGTATATATATACATTTATGTGTATATATATACTTATTTTCTGATTCTGAAACTCTTCATGATGAATCTAGAGGTTTTAAAAACTCAAGGAAAATCTTTGTTCTACTGGGTTTTTTATGATTAGTAGAGAACACAACTCCCATTCCTCCAACTGCCCACTGGCATGACCATACATCTGTGTTGTATCTTGCATCACAATTATCTTGTCAAAATAAAGGTCTATTTCATCTCTTTAATTTCATATTTTTATGATTTAATTAAAAATAATTATTTCTAAATTGATGTTAAAAGTTGTAAGGCTTTCCTTTTCTTTCCCTAGCTACTATTTCACCTGGTGTTATGTTTACATAAGATCAAAAAAAAAAAAAATCAAATCAACCCAGCAGTAGATCAGGAAGTCTTATGAATTAGCACAACTTGAGAGCTGATGCCATAATGTCCTCTATTCAAACCACATGAAAATGCACAGTACTTTGAAATTTTTGAACATATTTAGGAACAGTATTTTGTGTTCATGTGTTGACAAGATATGCTGTAAGGAAACCCCAGTACAATGCTCTTTACTTTGTCCTCAAAGACGTTAACATGAAACAAAACTTTTGATCAGAAAAGTCCCTTACCTCCCATGCTATTACTAATTCATGTCGCCTTCCACTTCTGCCACTTACATTAGCTGGAGGTGTCTTTGGAACTGTGAGCAAAAAGGAAAAACAAACCAAAACAAAATAAAACAGAATGTCCAAGTTATTGAAGTTTTCCCCATAGTAATAAGTTGCTGCAGAAGACATGAGACATTAAATCAGAACAGAAATAAAAAAAATAACACTTTCTGATAAAGAAAATTTGTTCAAGTTTCATTTCAGACAACTGCACACTCAAGCTGGTGAAATCAAACAAAACAAAGGCTGAGAATGAAAATAATACTGGAATAAAAAACTGCTTAAGCACTTTGCCTTCTACAGATTAGTCAAAATTTCAATGTATGGATCATCTAACATATAAAACAGGTCTTATCTAGTTAACATTTATATTCTTTTAATAGAAAATTTGAAATGCCAGAAAACATATTTCAGACTTCAGGTAAAATCTTAGGACATAGATGATAATGTCTTTATTATTTTGCAGGTAATTAGTGATTTAGAATGTTTTAGTTTTTGCAAATCTGCTCTACCAGGGAGCCAATTTCCCGAAATTTTAAAATAACCAACCATAAACAAACCTCATAATTTCTTCAAAGTACTAGAAGCAGTACAACCCATAGATCTTGAAAAATTGAGATCATCATTATGACTTTAAAGGATGTGAACAGCGGATTAATTTCTTTAAAAGAAATCGTCATCAGTGTGAATTGGATTGTCATATTTTGTAAAACCAGAAATATGAGTTGTTCCATTGGAATTGTGTAATTTCTTTTATCTTACTTAGTGCCTCTAATGAAGCTCCTAAAATGACTAATGTCTTGAGTTTATTTACTGTGAGCAGGTAAGTTTGCATTCTTTATTTGATTAAATATGTTCTAACATATAAACTTATTCTTTTCTTCCTTACAGCAGTACACTGGTCATTGGTAGAAAAGTACCGTGAGGCATTAACTCACATGGTTAGGCCTTATTGCATGTTGTTTATTTGATTTGTTGAGTAACACACTAGCACTTGCCTTTGAACCATACGAAGAAAAATACATTTAAATAAATGTACACAGTTCTATGTCGGTAATTAATTGCTTAAATTCAATGACAGTGTAGTTTTTACCTATTTCTGTAAGTTCACATAAAACTTCAAAATTCCTTTGTGTTCCTTTTTGAACCCTGAACTTCCCATTAAAGAACATAAGCCAAATTCTGTATTTCCTCATAAATGATGCAAACCTACAAAGTGTATTACTTATTTCTGATTTTTGATTTATTTCTGATTTATACACTGGAAATGAGATAAGAACTCTTTTATCTATGGTTCTTAACAGACCGATAGGGGAGATTTCTAATGTGTTTCTCTCCAATAAAACTGTGTTTATCTGGCAAATATGGTACCTTTCCTTCCTTCCTTCCTTCCTTCCTTCCTTCCTTCCTTCCTTGGCACATGCTAAATCATCTTTTGCAGTCACTGTCTGCTGAAAGCTCTTGATTTTTGTATAATCAGATGATTGAATTGTTTTACAGGTTAACTTTAGCTAGTGGGAAACCAGATAATCAGGCTGACCTTGTAGTCCAGGCTCCTTCTCCAGTAGTGCAGAACTTTGGGGGGGGCTTAGCTCATCTATGGATAACTTTCTAAACACTGAGGAGATTCTACTGACTGGAGACATGAATGTGTTTAAATTAAGTACTAATCTTTGCATGTCAAAAAGGTAATGAAGTTTTTCTTTCAGAAATGGAATTGCCCTCTGGATTAAAAAAAAAGAAAGAAGAGGAAAAAATAATGCATTCAGTCAGTGTGCAACATTGGGATGAATGTTCTACCATGAAAAAATGCAGATGAAGAATCATCTTCCAGTTAGTTAACATGCAAAAATTATGGTGCCATCTCTAATGAGGCATATTAAACCATTTTTAGCATGCATTTTTCTTTTGGTTTTTTTGAAGGTACTTTTGGATAAGTTATAAAGACAAATGAAGTTCTCATGTAGGTGCCACATTAGAGGTAGAAGAGTATGCTGTAGTCCTTTGAATCATCCAGCATGATGGAGTTATTTAACCTGCAATGTCCTCCTTCTAGAGTTTCCTTGTTAACAGCTTTGCAGACTGCAGCCCTATTTAAACGAATAAACGTTACAAGAATAAAACTGTCAAAACGATGAATTTCTTTTGCACCAAACTAAAATGTACTTTCACACAGTGAAACTCTTTCAAATGAATAACCATTAAAAGAATAAATGTGTCAAAAGAATAAATTTCCTCTGCACTGAAGAAAAGCGGAGCATACACAGTTAGAGGGGGACATTTTGAAATGACTGACTATTAAGTGAAGAAAACTATGTAAAAACCCCATTTTTTTACCAGGCACCAAATGGGGGTTATATATCAAACAACCCTTCAGCAGCATCACCTTTATATTGGTGTTATATTTGAATTTACTCACTCGTGGCCTAGGTTTAATGCCATGTAATTAATGACTTCCCAATCTTTATGTTGTTAATTCTCAGCAGTGACACTCATGGGTATGCACTTGCACCAAATACGCAAGTACAAAGCCTCAGCTTGACTCCTGGGCACTGGATACATGTGCCTGGGGACAAGGACATTAGGACCTCTTTTTTTGGGGATTTATCAAAGCTGAGAAGTTCGGTATTATTTCTTCTGAATACATACACTCTAACTAGTAGCAAAAAGTTCTTTGCTGTGCTAATGTGTCTCATTTAACAGCAAGATGAGAGAATGTCACCTACTGGAAATTGAGTTATTCCTTGGCTTAAGACTGGTCCTCAGGGTCATAAAATGTGACCATGCTTGAATTGGTTGTCATGTCTGTGATTCTGATCAACGTCTTCTCATTAGCCCCTTTGCCAGCTACCTATTTTCACTTGTCTCCTGTTTTATCCTTTAACTGTAAGCTCTTTGGGATCAGGTCAGCTCTTCTTTTTTTTTTTTTTTTCTTCAGCCACTGGTAAGGTCATAAGTTAAAAGGCAGCTCTCTCCATCATTCTGGTAATGTGAACAACAAATAGTACTAAAAACCGTGTTCTGAAAGACAGGGTGACTAGCTGCAGCTTACAGTAAATAATGGCTGGATGCCAGCACAAGTTGATGTTGCAACCTCCACTTAACACAAACAAAACAAATCTTTAAATGACTTTGCTAGGAGTTTGATTTGTTTCAACAAACAGCAGGATTTTTTTCTTACGCTTTTCTATTTTCATGGAATTACTGTGGTATGGTGAAAATGAAAGTGAAATTAAACATCTTCTCTAAACCAAACAAAAAATCATTAACATTTTCTCGAAGAGCAGGCATGGGCAATGTAGTCCTCTGCAGTCCTATGGAGAATTTGACTGGATACTTCAGATATAAATGAAGAAAGGGTGATATGGAAAGGTAAAGTTTATACATGAAGCCATGGACAACTGTTTAATAATTCATGTGTATCTTATTACTAGCTATGGATGAAAAGCTGTGGTTTTCAATTTAGAAGAAAACGTATGTGTAGAACTGTTGCAGCTGAGGATTTTGTGTATAGGAGTAGTGGTTATAAAGTGCTGAAAAATGCCGACAGTGTCACCTGTATATTTTTAACCTGTATTTAAATGTAAAGTTTGGAGAAGTTTTTGAAGTGCAGGGTAATACCATAGCTATGAAACCGCAAACATATGGGGTAGATGTTCACTTTTATTCCAGATTTCCGCTGTATCCAAAATTTTGAAGGCTGCTCTGTGCTTTAAGAAGATTAAATTGAAGTTAAATCAGAGTTTGAAAATTCTGCTCTCTTTGGTCTGCATAGTGGATGGATTTTCTGGTTTGGGGATAAATATTGAAAATTATTAAATATTTCATTTTGATATAACAAATGAAGCACAGCCATTTGTTTTTGAAAATATGTAAAATTTTTATTTTGCTCAGTTTTATTTAAGAATAGAATAATTAAACCAGGAAAGACAGATGAGAGTATTTCGGTTTGAGTTTACAAAGATTTTTAATTTTAATCCAAAATTATTATTTTACTTCTATTTTCTAAATAAAAACAATAAAAATTTTGATTAAAAAGTGTTTTAAAGTTCCTATTTTACTTCAGTAAGTGAACTAAAAAGATCTTTTAAACTAGCTCTACATTTCTTTCCTAATAGAAAGAAAAAAAAAAAATCACACCGGACCTGGAAAAGCTGAAAGTACTTCTAAAGCAGTTCATGTTCTTTTTGACATTCCAGTCTTGTAAAGAAATTAAAAAAAAAAATTATTGAATAAATAATTATTAATTTTAAAGTGTTTCTGTTTTGTTGTTTTTGTTTTTGTTTTTTTCTCCAAGGAAATGTCTTGTGGCTTGTTTCAATTCTATGTGTTTTGTTTATTATGAAGAGAAATGGTAGTTTCTTAATTTTGTGGTATGTCCTAATTTTTGTGCAGAACAAAAGTATTTACCAGTCAAAATTATATTTATTATAACTGAGTGTAATTGATTGCATTAGAAATCTGTATTTACATTTAGTCTCTATACTTTAATAGGGAATAGGTGAGATTTATGGAAGACAAAGAGAAGTAAATGAGTCCTACTAATGTCCTGTTTTTAGAGCAAGAGATGCTAGTCTAAGCGGCCCAAATTTACAGTTTTCTTATAAGCAATTGACTCCAGGTTTCCAAAATCCCAATTCCACACTTTATTTACAAGGTCTTTCTTACTCTGCTTGAATCCCATATTCTTTAAGATAATGGATGTTTTTTGTATAAATTCTGAAACATTTGTCAAATAAAGCAAATGAAGCAAAATTGCAACACTTTTCTGGGAGACAAATTAATAAACTTGGCCTTAGTCCTTAGCAAAGGACCTGTAACTTTGCTCCAGGTAGAGTTCCAGTTATTTATTTCTTTTAAATCTTTTTATATCTTGAGATACAGATGTAGATTGAAAAGAAGCATTTCTTAACTGTGGAAAACGTATGGGTGGGGAAGAGTGGATTTGTCCTCAGCTTGGCAGAACCTCTTAGTGTGAGGATCAAAGTTATTACACATTTGGCAGTTTTTTTATTCTCAGTTGCTTTCTACT